CTGAAAATATCAAAAATTGCTATGGAAAGCAATGCAAACTGTTTAGTAAATTAAAATTAAAATTACTGATTAAATAAAAAAATTAAGCATCCTTTAATTATTTTTCATTGTTGAAAGGCATCTGATATTCATCCTATGAGCATTTGGGGAGATTTTCTATCACATACACACAAACACAATAAAAAGACTCAATATTTCAACATACTGATGTTACAGTATGTGAAACTATTCCAATATATGTTTTTATGGATATTGTTTCCATATATAGAAATAATGTTTTGCTCCTTTCAAGGTCAGTTTACCCACCACCAGATTGCTCCAATACTGCTGTGTATTATATTTCTGAGTGTATTTCTCAATCACCAACAAAGTTCCAGTATACAATGAATCGATCAGTCATATAATGCCTTCTAATCAGGACACAATGACAGTGTCTTAAGTAGTGATAAAGATACTGTCAGTACTGAATGTTTGACATAGTACATTACTGGAAATTAATGTGACATGGAAATGTTTGTGAAATGCATAAATACCATATAGAGAGTCTGTAAATGTTAAAACCCAGCAAGAACAAATAACACCATGTACTGGCTACTTGTTCATTCTGAACTTGTGTTGCATTAAATTGTTTTTACAGGCACAGTACGGATACCTTTTGATCTGATGCTTTTCACTGTGATGCATTTTAATGGTTTCTTTTAACTTTGGCATTTTTTTAGACAGTGTGCTGCTTGAATTGATTTGTTGTTGTGATACAGCCGGGTGAGTAAGAGAGGGGTCCTACATAAATATTTACCACCCCCCAAGTCAATACTCGCTGCCAAGGGTGTTTCCACTAATTAGAGCTGTAAGTCTTTGCAGATTGCGATTATGCAATAACAGCCCATTCTTTCTGGGGATCTTGGGGTTGCTGGTAGACAGCTGAAGTCTTGGATCTTGGTCAGATGCTGCTTGAAACAGGGCATCCGAGTGGCTCTACCTTATGATTTTTATGCCACTGCTGTGCCACCCTGACTGTGTACTTGAGGTCAGTGCCCTGAATCTCTGTCCCACTCTTACATCTCCTGCAAAATGAACCAGGTTTCTCCCCTCAAGGATTTTCCTATATTCAGCCCCCATCCATTATTTCCCTTCTGTCCTGACAAGCTGACATCACCCTGTCGATAAATAGCATCACGCTAACAGGATCTGGCCAGTGCTTTGTTGTAGATAGGGTTACATGGTTACAGTCTGTCTTGGGTGTATACCAGAAACAGAAAAACAATGATTGGAAAAAAACCCAAAATGTTATTTATTTAGCCTGACCATATAATATTTTGCCACATATTCCTATAATCATTCCCGTGCCTTATTTTAAAATGAGGAATTTACAATGGCTTTCTTGAAGAAACGCTTAGTTTGTTCATTTTTTCCGTGTAGGATTCATGCTAGATTGGGAGAACTGCCTGGTTAAGACAAATTCTGGGGAGTGCTGTTTGATACTTAAAAATTTACTGGCCCTCATGCCATCCATCCATCCATCCATCCGTCCAACCATCCATCCATCCATCCATCCATGCATCCATGCATCCATCCATCCATCCATCCATCCAACAAAGCCAGGAGCCTGTTCTAAAAAGTGCAGGGACATGGGATGCCAGTCCATCAAAAGCACACTCCCACATACAATTCAATTAACTGCATGCTTTTGGACTGCAGGAAAAAGCTGGAACACAATCTTTGGCACGCCATGAGAATGTCACACGTCAGAGCTGGGGTCAGGAGAGACATGCCACCATGAGAATGTCACACATCAGAGCTGAGGTCAGGAGAGACATGCCACCATGAGAATGTCACACATCTGTCCAAAGGGACTAAACTGTGTGCATTGACCCTAAACCTAAAAGCTCTGTATTTTGCAGTGGCTCAGTGTTGGTGTAAAAAAAAAAAAACTGAAGTTTGTCTACTTTTTTGGATGAACATTCGTCTCCTTCTGAATTATTATGGGCTGTAATGTTTGACAGCTTCCTTAAGCTTTTCGACAGTTTAGTTGAAAATCTTTTCTGAATCATCTATGAGCTGCAGAGATCACGCTTCTTCCTGCTGTTGTCATTTGATTACCAGCATGTTGAATTCTAGCCACTCAAAACTGAACATCAATCACATAAATGAAGTATTAATTTTGGGAGTCAAAATTGGAGGGATCTTTGCTAGTTGGGCAAAAGGGAAGGTTATGAGAAAGTACTGAGTAATGAGAAAATAATAATAATAATAATAAGGCCACAGCACAATTTACAGTTTGTTTCTTGATTTCAGACCTTGCTTGAGTGTATTTGTTTTTATTCCATACAAATAATAACAGTGATGTCACATTATGGTTTAACACCAACTTTTTTGCGTAACCGTCTAGGAGAGAGACTATTCCAGGAGAGCATAAGCAGGACTGCTGGGGCCACATGACTCAGTCAAACAGCCTGCAGGTCGGCCGAACGTGACAGTTTGGGAAGTGCAGCTCAGGCCGGCCTGCTTGCTGCTACTGTTTATTACATGGACATTGTTGAAAGGCTTCTCATTATGTTGCAGCAGCGTGGGGTCTGTCCAGGCACAGCACAAATCTGGAAGGACACTGCAGCATCCTCAACATGCACAGCAAATCCGAAGCCCAGGCTTCGTAACAAACAGTAAGGGGAACCTAAAATGCAGCTTGCAAACATGTATCCAGGCTAAACGATGTCATGAAAACAGACCTGAAATATTGCTCCAAAATGGACTCACACACGAAGAACAGAAACTGTTTCATTTTCATTCCATTTTCCCCCTTTTTGCTTCACTAAATGTCACATTGATATATAATCATGTCTTGTATCTGCCAATATCTTTAATGGCAACTTGGTAATTACAGAATAACTTCTGCAGCCAGACAGATCAATCTATATACAAAGGATCTGGAAAAAAATCTTATATATTAACATTGAAAATATGATAAAAGGCTAGAAGCACAAGTGTGATGAAAGAAGCAGGTGTGGCAAACCTTAATATTGTTGGGACAGTTTTCAGTTTCCAAAAAAATTCAAGTCAAGTCAAGGAAGTTCAGGCTCTCATGGCAATATAATCACCAATTAATATCACCTCACTAATAGTTCTCCTCAATTTGAAAGTATAATTATCCAATTTTAAAATAAGCCCACCTGCTGGTGAGACAAATACATTAAAACAAAACAGAAAAAGGTTTTCTTAAATAATATAAGGAATGGGGAGTTTTATTTGAATTACCTTGAACAAAAAGGTATAAAGAGTACCTCTGCTGAACATTCACCCTAACTATTCCCATTTCGGGATATAATGCACCATTTCAAGCAAGACTAGATTGATTCTGATTGAATCCTTTACTTCAAATAAAGTAGTTATTAATATAATTTAAAAAATGAGGACAGCCATTTCAGGGCTCACTGCACACAGTGAAAATACTGCTTCCCAAGATTATTTTTTAATTTATGAGTTTACAGAACACATTCTGCATTCTGTGTCCAGATAAATATAGCAATCCCACCGCCATTCATATTTCACCTGCATCAGCTCAGGCGTCTACATTAATCGTGGCACGTTACAGTGAACAGTACTACATTTCTGAAAGGTGTGACTGCATTTAAATGCCTTCCAAAAAAAAAAACAAACCTAGACCGATGGCCCTTACAGGACAACATTCTTAGATTTCCTCATCCATTGTGCCTCAGAACAGTGACAGAAATCCTCCTTTTGGGGTATGTAAATATTTCATGAGCATAGTTTTTAAAATGTACCAACGACACACTACAGTATACACAGCAGCCAGGAGGAGCACAGCCTAAGCTACGCTAAAACCCATAAGTTGCGGGTTTATGACTTTGTTTACTGTCGAGGTACCAGCTCCCACAGCAATAAATATCTCAGGAGCGAAAACAGCACTGGAGTCTTATCAACTGGAGAAAATATGAACAAACAATGAATTGCATGTCTGTGCTTTGAAGGATGAGCGTATTTCTCACTGGATAGAATGTCACTGGAAGTCAGCCAGGTGACCGAGAACCAGAAGCAGAATATCATTGGGAAAAAACGAAGAAACTGATTAACTATATCACTGCCAGAATAGTAGATCAGTAGATAATTTCCTCTAAAGTAGAAATCTATTACTTGCCAATGTTACATTCATATTATCATAGTTTTCATTCTTTACACTGAATATTACCATTACAGGCTAAATGTGCTCCTTTCAAGCAACTCTGTCATTCATGACGATAATTTAATCATCACATTTTGAGATGAAAACATATGGCCACCTATAATTGGCCAATCCCTCTTGCTGACGAATGGACTCAAATGAAAAGCCAGTGAAAATGTAGTTATCGTGGATGGCACACATTTTTACATGTTCATAATTCTTTTCTTCCATTAAACCAAGCAGACTTAACAAAGCGTTACCTTTTTTGAATGTCATATCTGGGAGCATTCTGATCATAAATATAGAGAAGCTTTATTCACAACTTCTAAAGTGCTTAGTGGAAGCTTTTACATCACTAGAGATGCAGTCAAGTGCTCAGTGCAATGCTCAGCTAAAACGAAAAGAAAACGAATTGGTTCTTGGAAGAGACTTGTCCATCAGTGCAAAAACTACAGTGGATACAATCATTATTCATAAAAAATCTTCCAGTTCCAGATCAGTACATGACATGTCCGCAGCAAGATAAGTAACTTTCCATGTTCGCCCAATTAAAGTTTTAAAGAATGTTACTCTTTTCTGGCCCCCAACCGAGATTAAACAGCAGAGTTTTAGCGACTGAGCTTATACAATCGTAACAAGCCTGTCTAGTTTTATAAACTGATAATATAGTTGGCAAAAGAAAGAGAGGGGGATGAGACGTGACAAACAAAAGAGGGCAAGAAGTGGCCAAACAAAAAGGACAGCGGAAGAGAGAATGGGAGACGGCCAGAAAGGGCCGCCCTCTGTGAAGCTGTCGCGCGCTGGAACGGGATCCGCAACTCACCCTGTGCAAGATGCTGGGGCTTAAGTGAGGTGGCTTTCATCTTGAGGGTATCCTTGGCAGACATGTCACAGCAGGACCCTTTATTAGTGTCCTGGTCACTATCAGCCTGGTCACTGTCACCATGCCCACTGTCTCTAAGGCTCGCTCGCTCAGGATCCTTGAATGTAGAGCTGCTAAAATATATATAAAAAAGGAAAAAAATAAAATAAAATAAAGCAAACAAAAGAATAAAACAACATGCAAATCAAAACCGAATAAAAATCAAAAAGGAACAGAAAAATAAAGGAGATTGGCTCCCTTTGCGAACTCGTTCCCGAATCCATGTGAAACAGGACTGGAGACAGCAATGCTGACAAGAATGCAAATGCGACGGTTGATCAAGTTATTTAATAGCCCCTTACCTTTGAACAAACTGCTGCCTGCTGCCCAAGTAATTGGGCTCTGCGGGAAAATTGTCTGTCTGTGAAGGAGAAAGGAGAGAATTTACGTGTCGCACTCCATAGCATGTCTCATACAGAGCAACAAGATTTCCTGTTGGAAATGGCTGCAAATAAATGGCCCGGCTTTATTTCTAAATACTTATAAAAACAATTTTAAAGTATTGGTAAGTGAAACACAGCAATGTGGGATATTATTAATTGCCATTAAATCAAAAATTTCAGCCCACATTATGTGAAACATGAAAAGATATATAAAATATCTTTATTTAAAATATTTAAAATAATGCGATATAAATAATTGTATTCCACATATTTATATTCTGGAATGTATATAAATACCTATTTTATACTAGAGAAGTTGAAATGCTGCTGTGATTCCAACTTAAATTTCTGTTTTTTGTATATGTAATTCAGCTCAGCCTAACGGACAAAGAAACTCAGAATTAAGGTTGGCAGAAACTTTAAATGTCTGCCTATTTGTCTCTAAATGTTGGCCTCAGTCTGGTAAACAATAAAAGAACATTCTCACATAAATTTGTAATAGAAATCTCTACCACGAGATTAAAATCACTTACTTCTTGCAGCTAACTGTGAAATGAGATTACACAACATTTTTGCCACCAAATCCAATTTTTCCTTCAATCCCCCAAAGTGTAGCTGCGATGTATGAGCATATCTTAAATATAGCAGTCTCCATAGTGCTCCGATAAACACATGTACAGGAATACTACAATGACAACATCCACTGAAAGCTACTATGTAACAGAGAACTGGAATAAACCAGAATATGCAGTTCACTGCCCCCACCCCCAACATGCATGCTTATTCTGTTCTACCACCCACACATCTGATTTTACTTGTCAGCTAATTATAAAGCACATGATTACCTGACTCAGACATGCAGGTAGTAGACATGGTGGTGACTGAAGGTGGTGACTGATGGTGGTGATCGATGGGGGTAATTGACGATGGTGATAAATGGTGGAGATAATGGTGATGGTGATAAATGTTGGTGGCGATCAATGGTGGTGATCGACGGTAGTTATGATGGCGATGTGGTGATAGTGGTGATTCATGGTAGTGACTGATAATGGTGATGGCGGAGTGCGGTGATGGTGATGATCAATGGCAGTGACTTATAATGGTGATGGTGGTGTGACAGTGGTGATCGATGGGGTGATGATGGTAATCGATCATGGTGACTGATAATGGTGATGCTGGTGTGACGGTGGTTATCAATGGTGGTGATGGTGCTGATCGATGGTGGTGACTGCTAATGGTGATGGTGGTGTGTGGCGAAACTGGTGATCGATGATGGTGGTAACCGGCGGTGACTGAGAATAGTGATGGTGGTGATGTAGTGGTGGTGGTGGTGATAATGATTATGGTGGTGATCGGCGCACTGAGAACTGGTTTGAGAATCACTGCTGTAATGTAACCGGCCTGTCTGTACACCCATTTAACACACTTTAAAAACTGATTTTACGGCAACAGACAGTATAGTGGTTAAGAATCTGCCATATTTTCTGTGCTCCTGTCTGACTGTCGAACATTTATTTTAAACCATTTTAAAAATTAGGACTCTGCTAGAGTGAGATTGAACCACTTAATCTGACTTGGGGGAGGAGGAACTGATATATAATATTCCAGTTTTATTATTATAAGTATTGAATGTGAAACTGCACTCACACAAAGTATGGCATTTCATACTGCTTAAGAGATTTAGCCTAAATGATGTGACTTCCCCAGTCGTCGCTGAATATGCAAAGAATCACCTACAATACTTTTCTTTATGTATGAGGAGTGACATTCTATAGGATGTTAACTGTGTGCGTGACTGAGCTACTTTATCTTCTAGTATAGGCAAAACTAGTATCAAGAAATCTTCCCCTTCAATAGGACATGTATCAAATTTTCCAAAATGTGCTTTTAAAGTACAACTTGATGACCTTTATGAACAACAAGTATCCAGAAGCAGAAACGTAGCATAATAAAAATATCTGTAACCAGGGTATTGTTTTATACCCCAGTGGGTTCTGTCAGCTGTATCACACTTGTGCCTGCAGGGTCGAATTAACAGCCAAAATCCAGTGCATCTACACCTGAGCCAAAGTGCACTAGCTGGAACAGATGAAGTGTACCCAGAATAGTCAAACTGCATTCTTACAAAACATATATGCTTTGCATAGGCTCTACTACCAGTAAAGACACATTAAGGAATTATTGAAATATTATGGATATATTCCCCTGTAAATTACACCTGAGACAAATATGATTGCTTGGGTCTTTCCTTTCCATTAATATGACATGCCTGAGCTGTTGATATGCTGGGTCTGAATCCCATTAATGGAGTTACTCTGACAGTGTAATCAAGTTCATATTTATTGAGCTGGCAGAGTTTGTAGCAACCCAGAAGAATTATAACGCTATGCTGGATATATCATAAATATCATAAAGGTCCAGTCGATATTCCTCTAAATTTGTTCATGAAGCTTTAAAAATACTTAAGCAGCCGTATGTAGGGACAGGCTTCTGTTTTGCCAGGACAGGAGTGGAGATTTGGTTTTGCTGACTTACCTGAAATGAACCTGCATTTTCCATTTGCACCAGTACAGTTAACTGAAATGCTTCTTTTCACATACCCCATGTACTCCATTGACACACGCACACACACACACACACACACACACACACACACACACACACACACACACACAGACCTGTAGTCATATCTTTGTGGGGACTATCCATTCATTTCTATGGCCATAACCCTAATCCCAACAACCATAACCCCTATCCAGCCCTAAACCTAACCAGAAGTAACCAAACTGATCACAGTCACAGAATTATATGAAACTGAATTTCCCCTTGTGGGGACCAAAAAAAATAACTGGTGTTTATCACATTGTGGAGACATTTGGTCCCCACAATGTGATGTATATCTGACTCTCTCTCTGTCTCTCTCTCTCTCTCTCTCTCACACACACACACACACACACACACACTCCCTGTGCTGTGATGATCTGTGTTACGATATTTCGACTTCATGATAGGTATTTCAATTCTGAGACAGCCCTTGCCTGGGCAAAGTGCTCGCTCCAAGTTGTCATGCAGTTCTTGAAGAAAATGTGACTAAGGTGTAACACTAAACGGACACCATGGTACTTAGTACAACATTGATTTATTGATTAGTTAAATGCACGGAATGGAGTGAAGAACAGTTTTGTTCTGCAGATGTTCATTCAGACTTACCAGGGAAGGTGCAACCAGTTAAAGAGACCCATGGTGAAACATACTGTAGTGTAGCGGGTGTGTAAACGGGTTCTTAGTTGCTCAGAATTCCAAGGGCAGATGTGCTTTTATTTTGAAGTTGTGTTTTTCGTCCGGCCAGAGTTTTTTGCACTTTAGCAGCAACCGGATATGCTCCTTTCTTCCTTTTTTTCTTTTCACTCTCTTTCACGAGAACAAGCTGTCTCCTGTCTATTCTCCCCTCACCACAGTAGAATATTTTACGCGGGACCAAGTAATTGGACTTTTCAATATGGTGCAGGTTGGAAAGGGGGATTTTGTGTGTTTTGTGTTGTGGTTAAATTAAATGCTGAATTTTGGTAGTTAAGTAAATTACATGTATTATCTCGTTTTAAAAATGATAACTATGAGGAGATGTGTTGTGCTTGCTTAATGTACTGTAAACGCTGTTCTCCCCCCCCCTTGTGATGGTGCTGGACATCGGGGGGGGGGTGGGGGATGGGGGGCTGATTACGCCCCTGGGGGACTGAGGCTTTGGTTGAGGTATATCCTGGACGCCACCCAGAGTTTGATGTTAAAGTGTGCAGATATGTTCCCTTCTTAATTTTTCCCTCCTTTTGTGCGTCTGGTGCTGTAAGAGGAAGGTATTGAATTTTGGGTTTTTGTAATAAAAGAAATGTATTTTTGGAATTCCTCCCGGCGTCCTCCTGTCCTTTGCGGCCTACCCCATGGGTTTTGATGGTGTCCTTGTTTAGGCCATCACAAATTCCATTATATCTTTAACTTTAAGTTCATTATTCAATAAACTATGTGAGATATTCAATGCTTTATTATAAAATAGGCTTTATGTTAATGATTTTACCCAACTGTAGGCTAAGTGTTCTAAGCATGTATAAGCTAGGATAGGGTATGATGTAGGTTAGGTGTAGTGTATGAAAATGAATTTTTGCCGTAGAATATTTTCGACTTGCGACATATTTATCAGAACATCCCCCAGGGAGCATCTGTGTTTGTGTGTCTTTCGATATGTATGGATATACATATATGTCCATTTAATGGGTTTTAGAGACCCAACAGTGGCTATCCTGCCAAGACTGGGCCTCAGACTGGTGACCTTCTGATGACAAATACAGAGGGTGACCCTACTGAGACAAACACCCCCAGATATCTGCGAAATTTACTGGCCAAAAACAGCACAGACCACGACAGGGTTTATTCATCAATACTAACCTTTTCATACTGTTTTACAAACCTCAGACAACCCAAAAGAAGAAACGAGACAGATCAGGACCACAGCTAGAGTCCATCCAAAGAGGTTTTAGTAATTTGTCACCTCCCCCCACAAGATTTAAAAACATTTCTGAAGCATAATGTAGGCCTCCCAATAAAGATACTTGCTGTAGCAGATACACTTGGTTTTAATAGCGTTATGAGGAACAGCCAGCAGAAAATCAAGCCAGATGTGATCTTCAGAAAAACAAAGTGTCCATGTTGGAGTTTGTTGTTTACTTAATTTGCCATAAAACCAGAGGAGAGTAAATCAATAGTGGGGATTGTCATGTACAGTGCAGATTATGAGACTGACTAGGAACTCCATTCATGCTTCTCTGTGCTGCTAAACTGTGTCAAAATAGGAGATTAAAAAGAAGCTTTCAACATCTAGAACCCAGAATGTTTTCAAAGGTGTCTTTGCAGCTTCTTCAGACAAAAGGTCTTCAAAAGACTATTTTGTATTCAGTCCTTCACCCTGTAAAGCTGAACTATGTGTGTT